ATTTCAAGCTGATCGATTTCTATTAGTGTGCCATTTTCCTAATAATCGTGTTCACTGCGGTGAAAAGTTTACCGTTTCATCCACGGACGAAGCAAGAGAATGGCAGAGCTATTTTGTGTAGTGTAGTGTAGTGTAGTGTAGTGGAGTGGAGTGGAGTGGAGTGGAGTGGAGTGGAGTAGACGATTAAATTGGAACGAAAGTCATTAGTGGTGTGTTCTATTCATGGATCGCAAATCTAAATGTATCTGGGACAACGGGACAAGTTTAATCACCTCACCTAGAGCCGAGACGAACTAATTAATCAATATGATCATCACGGGGTTACGATCAAAATAAAGGTCAGACCTAGTACACTATTTGTCACGAAGGAAACTTTGATTCGACTGGAGAGTAAAAAAAACCGGTTTGGGCACTTAAACACAATTTGTTCAAATGGTTGCTTTGCAGTTTGAAGTTTAATTTTGGAATTGCAAAACTGTCAGTAGCCTCGGTGGGATTTGAACCCATGCATGAACGCCGCCTATTCTTTGTCAAAGCGCACGCTCTACCAGCTGAGCTATGAGGCCACACCGACAAAGCATTGATCTTTTCATATTCAAATTACCCATCGAAATCACAGAGGCATTTAACATCTACCAGGTAGCATATAAGCTGACTGCTACTACAGGTTATCTTAAGAAGGCACCGGAGTTCACTTAATGAATATCTAAGGCAAGAACAAATGTTCAAACGGTCTCAAATGGTTCTCAAACTGTCTGTAAAAACCTAAAACAACACATGCCGAACATAACCGATATCCGACATGCAGATAAGTTATAACTTGAAATTGTGTGGACGTACCCACTTGGTTGCAATAGTAAAAAAAACAGCTTTCCTTGATGAATGACATAAATCTATTCTGAATTAAAAATTTCTAGAGCACTACTGTACACTTGTTCTCTCGTTCATGGGGCGAATTAATCGTTTGTGCTACGATTCTGAGTTGGAACCTCACCAGCAGAACGCAACTGACTTATCCCGACTCCACTCCCCTTAAACCGCTAGTTTGTCTTTCTGCCTGCACTGAAGCCCAGTTGATCAGTTTTCGAAACTATAAGCACCAATCCAAAGAGGTTATTGGCTCGTCAGGAATTTTATATATCTTTTACTTCCTTTTTTATTGATTGAATATACAAATGTACAGTCTACTTTCAGGAACAGAGCCGCAAACATAAACCATCTGCCCGAGAAAATGCAGAAATTGGGAACATGGGCAGTCGTAGGGCGGTTCGAAACCGGGACTTCCGTTTCACTATTTTGATGACTCCGACCGCGTGAACACGGTCAGAACCGCTCCATTCTGTGGAAATTTGTTGCTCATTTATCAGTTGGATCATCCATGTATTTTCTTTCCCAAATAGAGTAACTTCGTATCTAACTTTGATTGCTTGTTTGTTGATCGTCGCAAACGAAGGTATAGTCAACGTGTATTCCATCATCATCATCATCATCATCATCATCATCATCATCATCATTATCATCATCAAAAACAACAACAACAATAGCATAAGAATATTTTATCCGGAAAATATCTGCGATGAATCGTCACCTCAAATTTGCGTCACTCCAAGACTCATGTTTTGTTCATTGAGTGCATACAGTGCATCATATCGGCTTTTTGAAGTGCACTTATGCCAATCAAAGCGAAACGATCCAATTTGGTCGAGAGGTTCTTTTTTAAAATTTGATTTGGTGACTAGTTTATCAATCGATCATATCCAAAAATATCTCATATTCCAGGACTGAAATTTTACAACTCAGATCTTCACCTTTCTGTCAACGGAGAAGAACAGTAGTAGGACGGATAGCCGAAAATCACACAGCACCTGCAAGAAAATGGCCGTTCCGTATTGGATCACTAGAATTTAATTGCTGTTTGGAAGAATTACAGTCCATTTAACTCTGGTACGTGCCTCGATAACTGTTAGTTTTGAACATAGGAATCGTAATTGAACGCACGGTTCTCAACCCGACTAACTGGACAGATTATTCATTCCGTGAAGTTTACTGTTACCATAAATATTCTTCGTTTTTTTTCCAACTGGATCCTAAGTTTACTTCCATCTGGCATTTAACTCGGCCAAACCCGATTGGAGAAGCCTACCGGGATCCTTCATTCACCCTATTGTTCTTTTCTCAAACTGTCAGTGCAAATAGCCGTCACACACTGTTTCATTTGACCCCTGTCTATCATCTGTGGCCGTTTTGTTCACTGATCAATGCGAGAGAGAGATTCTGTTTTTCCCTTAATTTTGAGTCTTTGATCCGAGTGAGAGCAGTCGCCAAAACCGAAACCAATCCTCTGGACTAACTACATCAACTATCAGCGAAAAATTACTATCCTTCACAACGTTGATATTACCGGAGGTCGAACAACGCGTTCATTCAGTGCTACTCAACCACGGTTCCATTCTTCATTCGTTCGGGCTACTCTACGACTAACGATTTCTTAACTTTGTAAAGTTCATCCATACTTCCGATTCAAGGTTTGCTGTTGGTCTTTTTTGTCTATCACCTCGAGTAAGGTGCTGGTTTAATTACGTAGTTTGGAAATTAGTGGAAAGAACGGACTCCTGTCTCCGGCCGTAGGACGTCTGCTTGTCATATCTCGATGTTTTGGTTTGATAGCAACCGCCTCGTCAGGCAGGGTTAAAACCTGCCAGACATGTTATTCTTAGCCGTGATCCTCTCCAGACAAGACAAACAGGTCCACCCTAGATGGTGTGTCGTTCACTTCATAAGCAAGTCTCTCGGTCACCCCGCGAACACCGTTTGTTATACAATTCCGAATTAGTCTCCTATTGGTTGGTCAGGTTATCCTCCATTCATCTGTTCTTCACAAATTCAAGTTTTTTATTTACACAGTATCCTTTCCTTCCCTGTGACGACTCAGTGTATCAAGTCGAATGGGAAATTATCTTGGTCATCAGCAAATAAATCGATTAAACTGCCGAGTGCAGTCCACTGCCCCTACTGTTCCCCTACTTGCTCCGATTGATTGGCCTGTTCCCTGACCTGAAAAACACATTCATTGCACAGAT